TCTTTCCCTCTTTGATTCCTTTCCCACCTTCACCTTCTCAAAAATGGAAGGGAAGAAAAAAAACTGTGAATGGGGAATGCTGACTTAAACCAACACAACTTTCAGAGGCTTCAGTGTCTCTTCTCTGGACATTTCTTTTCACCTCCTAAGCACCAAAGTTGCAGGGCCAGGTTGCAGGCCACTGATCGCCATGTTGATTTTAACCTGATGTTCTTTTTAATTGTTTTAAATTTTTCATAGGGGAGTTTTGGACAAAACAAAGTCACTGGGGAGATCACTGCCATTTTTACACACTCGACTTTTTAAAAATACAACCAACAAACCACCACAACTTCTTACACATTTGGGACATGAGCCAGAGTTTAAAAGGGAACCAACAAAACTCTCTAACATAAAGGATGGGGTTTTGGATTTTGTACAATAATAAAAACACAGTACAGCATATGGCTAGGGAAGGACGCAGTGTATATAATTGTAAAATACTGTTCTAAATTATTCAGGCTTATAGTTTCCATTATTGGAGTCCTCCGTTGTGTGGCCACACAATGTGGTTTATTTAAAGGAGCCAGTGCTTCCCCTCTCCCCAGGTAGTTGGTCAGCTGTGGACTCTGTGACCTTTGTCTAAACCTGTGTTGTAAGATCTCGGGGCTTTCTCCCTCTCTCTATGTCTATCTACCTTCTTTCTAACACTTTCTCTTCTTAGTCTTTTTTTTTTTTTTTCTTTCTCTTTGAATCTCCCAGTCTCTCTTTGAGTCTTATTTTTTAAAATGCTCTTTTAGAACGGGAAATGCTCAGATCCTGCTGTGGCATGGGGCCTCTGTGTCTCTGTCGCGTCTGCTGTGAAGCACATGATGCTCTATTTATTGTAGAAAGTGACTTTATTTGCTTTCTAGAATTGTTTATAACAGATGGTATAAGAAAGGTAATAAACAGAGAAAAATCTATGCTTGTAAAGAATACAAAAGTTAATTTTACCTACTATAATATGACTGTCTGAAACTTATTTTCTCTCTGAGAAATAAATGTTCTAATGGGCAGCAGCTGCTGTGCTGTGTTTGGTGTGATCAGCAGAAACCTGCCCACCTCTTCCTGATTTGTACAGCTCACCCCTTCCTCAAAAAACCAAGGCCTAGACTGGCCCCGTAGCACAGTGGTTAAGCACTGTGCATAGGGAGCCAGATACCACACAGCTTACTAAGGTTTGAGCCCTGTCTCTGGAAGCTTAAAAAAATACACTGGGTATGTGTACATGTGTACCCCAAATCCTGACAGGATTGAGAAATGGAGGGGAAAGGACTGTGTCACAACTATGCCACATCAAGCAGTACTTTCTTGCTAGTTCTCTCTTTGAGGAACACAAAATTTTGCCCTTTAGGGAAAAATTTTTTTAAAAATTGAGGCTGTTAAGAATGGATTGTCTCAGGACCAGCAGTTAGCGTAATGGCTATGTTGCTGAACTCCCATGTAGTCGACCACGGTTTGAGTCCTGGACCTGGTGGCTTAAACTCACACTGGGCACGTGTGCGTGCCTGCCCAGGATCCTGAGAGGAGAATGGAGGAGGAGGGATTGCAGCATGGCCATCCTCTCTGGGAGATGATTTCTCGCTTTCTGTCTCTCTGTCTCTGTCTTTCTGGTCCCTCTGTCTCTGTCTTTTGGGGGAGTGCACGGGGCCTATAGCAAAAACCCCTCAAAAAAAAAAAAAAAAAAAAGAATGGATTGTCTCAGGGCCTGCAGGTGGCATGGTAGTTAAGGTGCTGGACTTCTGCATGACTGACTATGGTTCATGTTCTGGACCTAGCAGCTTGAAAATCACACAAAGTATGTATGCATGCATGCCCAAAATCCAGGGAAAGAATGGAGTAAAAAATACTGTGGTGTGGCCATCTACCCTGGGGAATGATTTCTCACTGTCCCTCTCTCTTTTCTCTCTCTCGTGAGTGAGTCACATGTCCTATAGTGAAAACCTAAAAGAAAAAAAAAATTGTTGTCTCCAGGGGCCAGATGATGCAGTGGTTCCACAGGCAATCCCACTTCTGGTTCAAGTCTAGTGAAGTATGTGGGCTATACACTTGCCCATTTTACAGGACTAACTGAAGGCCAAGGGTGGATCTGTTGAGAGTGTTGTCTCTCCTCTCAAGAAATAAATGAAGGAAGAAGAAGAAGAATGGGGTTTTTTAGCTATTGTTAGGCTCTTACCAGAGAGGGTTCTGGCTTGCTTAGACCTCTGGGAGGGGCATGAAGATGGCCTCTGATCTTGCTTTTTCTCAAGTAGCACTACCACTTTCTGGAAGCAGTGGAAGGTCCAGTGTACCTTGCCATGGCTTGCCTTCTTTGTGGCCATGTTCCTGTAGGAGCATCTCTTGCATTCATTGGGAAAAAATGGCCCTTTGCACAACTTTGGCCCCTGTTTACCAAGTTTGCTGAATATAAGAGTAGGATCATTCCTCCTTTGCCATTGTCCATGTTTCCATTCCATAGATGGTTAGCTGGGAAATGAGAGGGATAACACGAGTCCAGCTCCTTTTAGATCTGGAAGGGACCATTGAGCCTACCTGGTCCTGGTTTTACAGACAAGGAAACACATCAGTAAGACTAAAAGTCTTGACCAAGGTCAGCCAGCTAAGAAATGGTAGCAGAATTCTGGAGAAAGGATTTGGCTAAGGCTGTCCTTTGCTCCTAGCATTTCAAGGCTGCACTGGACTCTTATATACTGTCCTCCCCTCGGTGGATGTTGCTCCAGCATTTCTGGAGAGAAACATCTTGAAGAGTGGAAATAGAGTTCCCAGGAACAAACTCTTGCTAGGTCTAGAATAGCTCTTCTCTGTCCCTTACCCCATCCTATTCTCTCTGATTCTATCCATCTCAGGTGCTTGTCTCAGTGGTGTAGCTGAGGGCACAGGGATCCTGATCACCATCTCTATAAGGCCTTTGACATTCTCGTTACTGAAGCACTACAGTGTAAAAGTTCTACCTCCAGTGTGCTGATAATTCTTATATGTTGGGGGTACAAAGATACACATTCCTGGTCTTAAGGCTCTTGTGACCTGATTTAAAAGATAGCTCAGGGACCAGCAGTTAGTGTAATGGCTATGTTGCTGAACTCCCACGTAGTCGACTGCGGTTTGCATCCTGGACCCGGTGGCTTAAAACTCACACCGGGCGTGTGTGCGTGCGTGCCCGCCCAAGATCCCGAGAGGAGAATGGAGGAGAAGGGATTGCGGCGTGGCCATCCCCCCTGGGGGGTGAATTCTCGCTTTCTGTCTCTCTGTCTTTCTGTCTGTCTGGTGAGCGCACGCGCCCAATAGCAAAAACCTCTCCAAAAAAAAAAAAAAAAAAGATAGCTCAAAACCAGCCCACAGGTGGTTAAAGCATCTGGATCCCACATGGCCAGTTGTATGATTCAAGTGCTGGACCAGGAGACTTGAAAAATATGCCATGTGTGCCCAAAATCCTGAAAAGAGAAATGGAAGAAGAGGGATTGAAATGTGGCTATCCTCAACAGAGGTGCGTTCTTAAATTATCTCTTTCTCTCAGGTAAGAATGTGAGCCCTCTGTTGGGGGAGAAAACCACATAGCTTGTCTCTGTAATCTAGTGGTTAAGGGAGCCAGATCCCACATGGCCAACTGCAGTTCAAATTCTAGCTCCAGTAACTTAAAAAGCATTCTGGGCATGTGTATGTACATGCCCCAAATCCTGATAGAACAGAGAAGTGGAGGAGAAGGGACTATGGTGTGACCATGCCTCATTGGAAGATGCTTGTTTCAACCCCTTTGTCTGTCTCTCTGTCTCTGGTAAGCACATTTGCCCTCTGGCAAATAGAGAAGTCTCAGACAACTCTGAATGAGGCTAACGTGAGGGTCACAGGCATGTATAGGAGTTTGGGATAGAGACCTTATGTTTGGTTGAGACAGAATGAGCTTACAGAATAAAGCAATTAATTCAAGCCTTGAAAAATGGGGTCAGAAGATCCTTATTTATGAATTGTATTTTGAATTGCAAAATATATATTAAGTTTTTGTGTTAGGGCGCATGATCTCACCGAAGAGAGAAAGAGTGAGAGGAAAAGTGAGAAATTACCCCATAGGGAAGATGGCCATGCCACAATCCCTTCTCCATTCTCCTTCTTGGGTCTTGGGCATCTCATACATGCACCCAGTGTGATTTTCAAGCCACCAGGTTCAGGACTTAAACTATGGTTGGCATGTGGGAGTCCAGCAGCATAACTGCTATGTTATCTGCTAGCCCCTTGAATTGCAAAATATTTACAAAATATTTGGAGTGAAATTATAAACTTACCCTGTGAAACATTTGGGAAATAAAGGAAAAATGGACAGATGGATAAAATTTTAATAGGCAAGACTAAAATGAGGTATTGTAGATAGACAAAGCAACTTAAGCAATCATAGCTCAGGGAGGTATTGTGCACATTCCAACTCCATTGGTTGACTGACAACTCATTTGACTAGAAGCCCATCAAGGTGGTGAGGCAGTGTGTTGGGACTAAAAGACCTGTCACTCACTGACTGTATGACCGACCTCAAGCATTGAGAGTTGAC